TGCACTTGTGTGACTTGCTCCCACCTCTGCCGCACACTGTATGTCCTCGTTACAAATGATCACATTTTAGGCTGATAGAAAACATACATCCAGCAACCAGCTGGGCAAGTATAAATAAAACTTTGATTATATCATTGCCATACTTATAACATGATCTCTTGATGGCGTCTCCAAATGAAATATCGACATGTAAGTAGGCCTGAGAGAGAAACTAAATAAACGTGATGAAGAGCCTAAATGTTCATAATGACTCATTCAGCATGTTCAAAGGAACTGAGATGGGTGAAATGGACCATAAATCTTGCCTCACTTCAGAAACACACGGCTATCTGCAGTGCTGCTACAACACAGAAATGGCACAAGTCCACAACCTCAAGTGTTTTCTTGCTCTCAACGGCACAACAGATAAGGATACAGATAAGCGTTTTAAATTTTCACAATATAAAAGAGATGATTCCAGATAGGGCTGTACAATATGGTGATATTTAAATTGGAGAGACAATATAAAAAAATCTTTTTTTATATTATGCGTTAATGTATATTGTGGTGTCGCTAAATGCATTGTTTACGCTAGTACTTTTTCATAATACATATAATGTTGTTTAAAATGAAAATTATAAACAATATTATATACATTACACCAAAATACTACACTATTACAGGGATGCAGACAGAAGCCTAGATAAAAGCATTTTGAGAAAGTTGTAAAGTTGACACAATCTTCCTTGCATCGCTGCTATCAACACTTCATGTTTCTGGAAAACATCTCACAATTCTTGTTGTGCTTCACACAGATTTGGCTTTACAAACCACGTGTAGGTGATGCATTCTTTTTCTCTCCATATGTACCAGACACCTTCTTTTCTGTACCTCATACTTTTTAAAAACATTGTGCAATTCTGAATGTGCTCTGCACAGGAGAGTGTGTTTGACAAATGGCCTATTGCACATCTCTCTACCTCTCCTCTCTTTCAAAAATATATTATATTTTTAATTAGTTATATTTATAAGATGCAAAGCAAGTTGTGCTCATGCTTCATTTATAAATGTGTTTATTTTTTCATATATCTTACTTTGATTATATACTGCTACTCTGCTAACATGAAAATGACAGTCATGTTTCCTAGATCCTCCAAAAGGCCTGCCCTTTAGAGGTTCTGATTGGTCAGCTAAAATAATGTGCTGTGATTTGCGGATCGATTCCACTTCACCAGAAAAAGCGTCACACCCCTACAAGCACGTGCTTTGCCTCTTCTGTGTAAATGCTGTCAGTCAGAGTAGCTGTTAGCCGTATCAGTTTGAGCCTTAATCAAAAACAGAAAATGAAAAAGACACAGCTGAGCCTCACGCTTGCTCTCTAAAATAGAATATGACAACTGTCTTTTTTACATATAATTGGAGTAAGTATGTGTAAGTAATATGAAACCTTCACAACATTGTTTACAAGGTCGTCTGAAGCGCAAATGATTTTACATTCTAGTTTGCACTCGCCGCATGTCTATATTTGAAATAACTAACTTCTTTAACTGATGATAATAACCAGTGTGTAAATATTGAAGTGCTTCTGACATCCAATCCTTTCAGAAGTGGACAAACGCCAGAGTGAAGCACCAAAAAAACAAAAGAGAAGCCAGGAAAAACAAAGAAACAAATGATTTTTTTAGCAACCTAAATCATGAACAAACTGCCATGTTTAACTATTATCGTCACCTTTTGGACTATTATAAACTCAGAATGACGGAAATACTTTCTAACGAGGTTACATGTGCTGGTGAAGATTAAAGATGCATAGGTTTGCACTGACTGGTCTATTCGTTGCGTGTTGTTTTTGTAGCCAAATAAGGACTTTATGTATGCTGTGTGTAGTTTTTCTGTAATTGTTAACATATTGGAGACTATAAGGGGCTTTATGTGTTCATATATGTTACATTTATTTATTTATGTTATATAATTGTTATATAACACAGTAGGCTATTTCGCCCTATCATTAATCTGCAGTTATAATCAAATCATGTTCATAGAAAGGCAAGTAATGAACATTTCTACACTAGTATTAATGTGTTTAAAGCATCTGTTTTCTAAGAAGTCCATATGACGTAAACGATCTGTACAGCTTTACTTTGGCATTTACTCAAGCGTGAATGCCGTCGACTGAAATATCTGTCCTACACCACACCCGTCAAATTGCCCACCATTGGTACCCTTTTGGCAGTGGCAGCCTGATAAATGTGACCGATACTGTACCACTCAGTGAAAAAGGGCCATAAATGTTGAAGGAGCAAGCTCATTGGCTGCAGATGCAACACCAACCAATTACCTGCACCATGTAGTTTGATGACATGGTTGGAATCAGATTGGATGAGACCTATCAGCCTCTACGCCCAATAGAGCTTCATCACAAAACTTTTTTATTAATAATAATATTGTGTTCCTTGAGTATTTTATTTAGTTTTCTAATCTCTCTTCCCGCTGTGAATGAAGTAGTGGTGTAATTCCCTCAGCGGTGTGTGGAGGCTCTGCCAGCTCCAGCTTTCTCCCCCGTCATGGCTGCAATCCAGACGCATCAGACGCATTAGTTTAAACATGTTGTTTCTGGATTGCCCTCTGCAGTCACTTAAGTAAAGTTCTGCTCCGTGTGCCAGCCGGCGGCCTGAAGAAGAGAAATGAAAAGCATGGTGCACCTTGAGGGAGCGCTTCATCCTGAATCCTGTCAGACTGATGCCGGAGGAGCATGGGTAATGGCCTTGGGCTGCCAACATCCCTGCTCATGCCAGTACATACTCTGACAACAGAACTCACACTGCTACAGGCTCCTCTTGCTCTCTTTCGGAGCAGCCTGGCTTTTGGAGATCATTGAAAATTTGTTGGTTTTTCTCAAGGTCAGAAGTGTGCAGTGGAGCTATGCATGTACAGTGCCCTCTATGAACTCTTACAAATACAAAAAGCTGTCACTAGTGTGGTATCCAAAACCAAGATGTCCAAGATGGCTTAACTGGGGGGCATTGCAATCTCATGGGGAGGGCTTCACAAGACGTGGTCACTGATTTGTTTTTTCCTGCTTTTTAAAAATATTTATTCACTTATTTATTATTAGCAATTTATTTTACAGCCTGCCCAATAGAATTTTGGCTTTCCCAGCTGGATATCTGCACTAGCGGGAGGCATGTGTTGTGCCTTAAGCCTCATTCACACTTTCAGTGACTTTGTAGCTGCCTGTGACTTGTGGTGGCGACCTACCGCAAATGCAGGGGTGTGTAGGTCTGCAGCACGAAAAACCACCGCCCTCCGAGCGAGCCAAGAGAAGATCACTTGATCTCTAATGGCGCTCCTATTGGCTGTCACTCATAAAAGTCTCTCTTCATTTGCAAAAAGTTTTCTCAAAGGACAAATGATTCTCAACTTTGTCGCATCGCTCCTCACACCCACCTGGTCACTACGACTGCTGTCACTTGCATAGAGAGAGGTTGCTGGAAGTCGCTCACTCTCCATTAAAAATAAACGGTAGCTTGTCGTTTTGCTGCTGTGAGTCCCTCGTAGTGTGAATGAGGCTTTAGTGTCCCTTCAGTACCCTATAGTGCCCCTGATGATATTCAGCCACATTACACTGCTATGACATTGCGTTTATACAACAGTTTGGCGGCATAATTGTGTAAATAAAAATGAAAATTAAACACGGAGAGTCTAAAAACCCTTTTGTATGAGGAACTACTTTCTTCCGCCATTCCTTCACATCTGCAGTTGACGTCAGAACAGCAGAATCGGTTGCTACTTCACCAACATAATTTTAGAGGTAGTATTTGAATGATTCTCTAGCGTAATGTTTAGAGTGATGACAAAACAGGTGATTTTGCTCACATTTTAAGATTACAATGCCGAACCGCACGAAATTCCATCAGTCTACAGAGATATCTCCCAGTATTTCTCTGTTGCAATCGGAAGATCAATAATTAACCCAGAAAAAGCTGAAGCAGTGCAAACACTACCAGGTTACTGTTGTTGCGATAAGGAAAAACGCTAAACACATGCAGGTATTTCATCTTTCTTTCTCTTTACTGAACTAGTCTGCAGTAACAAAATCAGGAGACTCATTAGAAACAAACAGATGGCCAACCAAATTAGAAACAAACAGATGGTAAAAAGTAACTCAGGGTTATACAAAGACTGGCCAACACAAAATACATACATTCCTAATATGCAAGTCCCATCTCACACTCAACACACTACAATTATTATGGTATAAATACAGCACTACAACATCCAAAAGAGTGAGATCAACTTGGAAAGACACTTACCAATTTTTTTTTAATGATTTGATCAGCTGTAGTTTCAAAATAAAGAGATCATTTCTCCTTTAACGGCATATTATGCGGCCTATGTTGCCATCTTGTGGATGACGCTATATCTCAGAAATTATAAATATTTAAAGTAGACACTATCCTTATAAATAAACTGCAAAGTTGCAATTTAAACAGCTACATTCTCACCTAAAAAAAAGCCTCAAATGTACATTATGTTGTCCAACAGCTGCAATATTTGTCAAACTTTAGTGAGTTTGTTGATCTGCTGTCACTCTATGTGAGCGGTGTAATACTGAAGAGTGAGGAGGCTGTACGAGTTCTGATATTGCAGAATATTGCACGGCTATAAACCAATCAGATTCGAGAAACAGACAGAACTGTTGTAAAAGGGCTTTTCATCAGTAACTTTTTCATGACATATTTGGAGTTTCCATACGAGAGCCATACTAGCCTTCAGAGAACACTTACAACTGATCGCAGAGCCGTGTTCCCCTGATAAGATGTACATGATTAATGACGTTTGCAATATTAATTTGATTAATCGCCTAGCCCTTCATTTAAATTACTTACAACCAGCTTAAATCATCTCTTCCAAACCAGCTATTTAGTCCTGTTTAAATTTTAAAAATTTTTTGATCAACTGGGACTGCAGTTTATTGTCTAAACCGATATATCCAATCTCTTTTCTTTTGTCTCTTGCAGGTTGTTGAAATTGCCATAAAAGTAAGCCCTATACTGGGCTCCCATATGTTTCAGCCTCTCCTGCCATCTGTGATACGGGGGATTGTCGAAGGAGAAGTGAGTCTGTTACAGTAGTAAACTGATTTCAAGCTATCTTCTATTCCCAGTTTTCAATTTGAACGTGTTTGTTGTTGTGTGTTTTGTGTGCAGAGGTATCCTGTGGTCATGTCTACATACCTCGGGGTGACGGGACGTATTCTTCTGCAGAATTCAGGCTTTTTCACATCACTTCTCACTCAAATGGCTGTGGAGTTCAACCAGGAGGTGAGAATGACTGTCAGACCGCCAGCATCTGCAGCTACTGAAAGAATAGAGAATTTTAATACCAATTCACCTGTTCACATATATACTTCTTTATTGATAAATACCCACCTAAAGGTGTTAGAGTTAATGAAATGTAGAATAAATTTTAGATTAAGTTTAGCTTAATTTATTAAAAATTTTATTAACAAGAATCTGTCCATAAACAGGTATGTCCATAAATATTGGGACGTCGACACAGTTCTAACATTTTTGGCTCTATACACCAACACAATGGATTTGAAATTAAACTAACTAACTAACTGCAGACTGTCAGCTTTAATTTGAGGTTATTTACATCCAAATCTGGTGAATAGTGTAGAAATTACAAGTTTGCATATGTGCTTCTCACTTGTAAAGGGTCCAAAAGTAACTAGACAGTTGGCTTCTAAGCTGTTCCATGGGCAGGTGTGTGTTTCCCGTTGTTTATATCCTTGTTTACATTCTTGCTACAATGTACCGTTAAAGCTAGAAACTGTACCTGTAATATATCAATATATATATATATATATATATATATATATATATATATATATATATATATATTTAGCGAACACAATTAAAGTGAACCTGTAAGCACTTCTCTTTTTGTGTCGTGTCCTTTGAAATCCCAATTACAGAAACAGAAGAAGCTCTGTGGAACTAGCAGCATTTGGACGCCATTTTAGCTTTCTCTGCTTTAACAATACAGCACCTCTGGCCTTGCCCCTTGACTGCGCAGGGTGTGTTCGTATGGTGAATGTGCATAACCTGAAGCATTTTTGATCTCACTAACCCAAATGTATTTTTTGTAGTCCCTAAACTTCGTTCACTGTAGCTTTGCTAAGCTAACTATGTAAAAGCCAATGTCTCCCTTTGCATTGAACTTTGAGCGTTTTACATTCAGAGATGTTGTTTATGTTCACACAGCTACATTACACATCAGCTAAAGTTTAAAATATGATATCTTAGTGGAGCAGCCCTTTTAAAATTTTTTAACAGGTCCTTGTTTTCCTATGTCCATGTAATGCTACCCAATCGGGCCAATGCTCATCCAACTCCTATCTCTACTTCTCAATATAAGTTTTGACAAAAGTTTATTTATTAACTCTATTCACCACTTTATTAATATTTATAAACATGTGGTTTAATTATCTTACTTACAATAACATTTTTTTTTTAAATCCTTAGCATGTAGCCTTGTGTATGTCTGAAATTATGTTCATAGTGGTCTTAAAAAGTCTTAAATTTGACTTGATGAAAACTGTAGAAACCCTGTAAATCAAAGAAAGAGGATTCAGTGCTTCCTGCACTTCCTATGCACTTTTTCTAACTTTACATCAAGGTCAAATATAATGAAGCAAAATACATTTTAAAAATAAAATTAAATTGCTATGCAACAAACAAACCGAAAAATCCTCAAGCTTGTCCTAGTTTCCTTTGGCTGGGCATTGCATCTTCAGTCGGGTTTGTTGGAGCTGATCTCAGTGTAATTTGGTCCCAGTGGACCTGAAGCTTTGCTGATCCTCCCACACAGAATCGTTCCCTTTCAGCCCTGGACCAAAGAATTGAACTCATTTGCACTATTGTAGTCTCAGCATATATCAGCGCTCTCCTTAATTTCCTCAATCCCAGAAATATCTCTCCCCCAGAGACGCTTTTATTATTTACAGTATCAGCCGAATAACTTCAAAAGATGGAGGTTTTTATATATTCTCGCTGTCAGGCGGCTCGACGTAGCCTAATGTTTTCCTCTTATCTCGTGAAGGGTGTATTAATCTTGCTCCCAGTGCGCCTCGCTTTACCTGTGCGCGGCTAAATTATAAATGAGAATTATGTGAGCCGGATTGTTTATCATGGCCATCTCTGCTTTTCTCAGGCGGACCAGCTCTTGGGAAGTATGATTGAGATGTGGGTGGATCGAATGGACAACATCACCCAGCCTGAGAGGAGAAAACTTTCCGCCTTGGCGCTGCTGTCGCTTTTACCGTCTGACAACAGGTTTGTCATTTTCCAAACACTGCAGGATCACCCTATCACATTTGCATGCTAATGTTGGAGGCGTTTATATACATGTATAGTCGAGGCCCTCAGCAATGCTGTACGAGTGATAACATTTATACAAATCAATTGACATTCGCCTCAGAGAGCAAATGAATAAAAGATCTCTTCATAATGGCGACTCGCCTAGAGAAACAGCTTGTTGGTATTAGCGACGGATGTCAGTAATGGTCCCATTTTAAAGACGTCACATTGTGTTTTAGTACAAACAAATGCACAAATATCTTTAATTTGTGTAGATAATGTTTTGTTAATTTCTTTGTCTGCTTTTAATTGAATGTTTTGTACCTTTTGGGGTCCGATTTACTGACTCTTTTAGCAGTAGAACAGTACCTTTGGTATATACCTGTACTAAACATGCTAAGTGAAAATTAGCACTGAAAAGGCTTGCACAAGTTTTTTTTGTGCCTGACCTTAATGAATATGCATTTGTTGGAGTTTTTTAGGAAAATACTAATTTTAAGGGAGGGAATAATTTTAATAAATCATCCAATGTGGTTGGCTAACGTTTGTGTTCCACAAATTATGGGTATTTGCTTCTTGACTAAAAACATTTATTAAATATTGTGCTTGAAATAATTGCAGTTTTTGTTACAATCAAGAGGCACATCATAGAAAGCAATTGATATAATGGTTTTGTTCACACATATTTGTTTTGGAATGCCAAAGGAACACATCTTCCGAACATTGCTTATTAGTCAGTACGCTAATTTGTGCTGTGCTTATTGTGTTGGTCGACGTTACATCTGTGTTCTATAATTTGCTATTTTTTTATAAATTATTAGCAGAAATCGACTCAGTCATTCATTCAAGCGGGTAAAAAATAAGAGTTTAGTACTGCTTGACAAGAATTTTTTGCATCCAAAAAACGGCCAATATTTGCTTGTTAATGCAAATTTCTAATCAGCCAATCACATGGGAGCAACTCGATGCATTTAGCAACTCGATGCATTCAGTTCAAACCGAGCATCAGAATGGGCAAGATTAAGGTAATTTAAGTGACTTTGAACGTGGCATGGTTGTTGGTCCCAGATGGCCTGGTCTTAGTATTTCAGAAAATGCTGATCTATTAGGATTTTCATGCACTATCGTCTTTAGCATTTACGGATGGTCCAAAAAAGAGAAAATATCCAGTGAGCGGCAGTTCTTTGGGCACAAATGCCTTGTTGATGCCAGAGGTCAGAGGAGAACTGCCAGACTGGTTTGAGCTGATAGAAAGGCAACAGTAACTCAAATCACCACTTGTTACAACTGAGATATGCAGAAGAGCATTTACAGTATGAATGAACAACACATCCAAACATGAGGCAAATAGGCTACAGCAGCAGAAGACTACACCAGGTGCCACTTCTGTCAGCTAAGAACAGTAATCTAAGGCTATGATATGCACAAGCTTACCAAAATTGGACAATTGAGGATTGGAAAAACTTTACTTGGTCTGAGTCTCAATTTCTGCTGCGACATTCAGATGGTAGGGTCAGGTTTCGGAAAGCATGTATCTGTCCTGCCTTGTATCAATGGTTCAGGCTGTTGGTGGTGATGTAATGATGTGGGGTAAATTTTCTTGGCACACTTTGGGCCCACAAGTACCAATTGAGCTTTGTTTCCCTGACACAGCCTACATGAGTATTGTTGCCGACCAGGTCTATGCCTTAATGACCACAATGTACCCATCTTCTGATGGCTTCTTCCAGCAGGATAAGGCACCATGTCATGAAGTGTGAATCATCTCAGACTGGTTACTTGAACATGACAATGACATCACTGTACTCAAATGGCCTCCACAGTCATTCGTTCTTTCATTAATTTTCTGATGCTTTTCCGGGGCCGGGTCGCGGGGGCAGCAATCTTTGGAGAGAACCCCAGACTTCCCTCTCTCAAGACACTTCCTCTAGCTCCTCTGGGGGATCCCAAGGTGTTGCCAGGTCAGCCGAGAGACATAGTCCCTCCAGCATGTCCTGGGTCTTCCCCGAACCTCCTCCTGGTGGGACATGCCTGGAACACCTCCTTAGGTAGGCGTCCAGGAGGCATCTGAAACAGATGCCCGAGCCACCTCAGCTGACTTCTCTTGATGTGGAAGAGCAGCGGCTTTACTCCGAGCTCCTCCTGGGTGTCAGAGCTCCTCACCCTATCCATAACAATGTGCCCAGCCACCCTTCATAGGAAACTCATTTCGGCAGCTTGTATCAACGAGATCTTGTCCTTTTGGTCATGACCCAAAGCTCATGACCAAAGGTGAGAGTAGGTACTTAGATTGACCGGTAAATCGAGAGCTTTGCCTTTTGGCTCAGCTCCTTCTTTACCACAAAGGACTGGTACACGACCGCATTACTGCTGCTGCTGCACCAATCCGCCTGTCAATCTCACGTTTCATCCTTCCCTCACTCGTGAACAAAACCCCGAGATACTTAAACTCCTCCACCTGGGATAAGGAATAAGGACTTTCCTTCAACCTGGAAATGGCAAACCACGTTTTTCCAGTGGAGCTCCTTCTCATATCAGCCACGTCACATTCGGCACAAACCGCCCCAGTGCATGCTGAAGGTCCATGTTTCTATGAAACCAACAGAACAATATCGTCTGCGAATAACAGAGATGAAATCCTGTGGTTCTTAAACCGGACCCCCACCAGCCCAGGGCTGCGTCTTGTAATTCTGTCCCAAAAAATTATGAATAGAATTAGTGACAAGGGGCAGCCCCGCTGGAGTCCAACATGCACTGGAAACAAATCTGACTTATTGCCGGCAATGCGAACCAGACTCCTACTCTGTTCATACAGGGACGAGACGGCCTCCACAGTCACCAGATCTCAATCCAATAGAGCACCTTTGGGATGTGGTCGAATGAGAGATTTGCATCATGGATGTGCAGTGGACAAATCTGCAGCAACTCTGTAAAGCTATCATGTCAATATGGACTAAAACCTCTGAGGATTATTTCCAGTACCTTGTTGAATCTGTGCTACGAAGGATTAAGGCAGTTCTGAAGGCAAAAGGGGGTCCGACCTGGTACTAGTAAGGTGTACCTAATAAAGTGGTCGGGCAGTGTATATTATGTCAAAACAAACTTTTATTTTGCATGTGATTAATCGTGATATTATTGTTATTATTTTTTGTACATTCTACATTTATTCATTGTTTTAGATAGGTTATAATACAAAACACATGAATATAAATAATAAGAATGGCAAGCTTAAAATGCTGTCGCTCCTACCATCTGACATCAGGTTTGTCATCTTCTAAACACTGCAGGATCACCCCATCACATTTACATGCTAATGTCTGAAGCGCATATATAGACAATGCCATCAGCGGGCTGTATGAGTGATAACATTTATACAAATCATTTGACATTCACCTCAGAGAGCACACAAATGAAAAATCTCTTCATAATGGTGACTTGCCAGGAGAAATGGCTTGTTGGTATTAGCAACGTCAGTAGCTCGGTTGTCAGCGATGGTCCATTATCACGACTTGTCACATTGTGTGATAACGTGTAAGTTATAGCTGTTATGTTGCAAGGTGCCATTTGCATCTCATTGAGATGTCAGCTGTCTTGTCAGGGAGTCAGTCATTTTACCAGTGATATTATGAATCATTTCACCTTATAGTTCATTGTTGTTAACCAAACTAACACTTTTTTTTTTTTAAATAAGGAGCTATTTCAACCCAAAACAATATGGACAGTATTATATCAGGCATGACTAAACCACGAGCAGCAGCTATTTTGTGATTCTACAGTGTATTACCAGACACAATTTGATTTTAGTCAATTCAGGAAAGGTGATTAATATTCAACAACACATAAGCTAATCAACAGAAATAGCAGCAGTTGTAGGATTTTAACATTAGTTCTGGTTTATTTGCATACATGTCAAGCACCTGTAAGTTCGGTTTCTGTAGGTGGTCAGCAGTTATTTCAGCTCAAAGGGACTATAAATTAACTTTAATTGTATTTTAAAATAATCTATTTTAGAGACAAACCTATAAATAATTGATTGTGTTATAGCACTGTTTAACTTATATACTATAAGTTTTAGGTATGGTACAAGGGTTATGTAGTGTAATGACATTTTATTGAAAGTCCTTTATCATCATTTTAGGGATGGTCTAGTGCATTTTAATGTTTGGTAAGAGTTTTTAGATCCTCAGAACATCTGTTTCCTTCTCTGGATTTTATAGAATTGCACTTCTCTCTGCTGACTCTGATTTTAGGTTATTTGATTCAAGTGGTTCTTGATCAAAGTGATTGTGATTATTGGTGTCTGCATCACTCAGGCCCTACAAAATGTTTTGCTTAGTTATGATTTGAAATCATATCAAATATGAATTTTTTTGTGAAAAGAAAAAAAAAAGATATAGTACCCCTGTGGATATATACCCTTCAATTTTGTCCAAGGGTCTGTTTTTTTGTACCTTACTTAATTATAAGATGATTTGGATGATCCTGTTTCTTTTAATCTTGATAACTGATATCTGGCTAATCTGTTTTTTAAACATGTTTACAAATCAGTCTTTTAGATAAGACATTAAACCGAGGTTCTGACTCTCTGTGGTCATTAAAAATCTCATTGCACTTCTCGTAGGGGTGTAACCCCGGTGTCCTGGCTAAAGTCCCCAATCGGCCCTTACGATCATGGCCTCCCAATCATCCCCATCCACTGAATTGGCTCTGTCACTGTCTCTCCACTCCAGTAATAGCTGGTGTGTGGTGAGCACAATGGCACCGTTGTCCCGTGCCTGCCGTTGCATCTTTCAATTGCTCAAAATTTTGACATTTGAGACAAGTGTCTGCAACTTATGCAAATGTGGTAGTTTAAATAGTAGTTTAACCAAAGCATTAAAAATAAGCAAACTAATGAAACTGGCCTGGTGTTTGTTCTCCATACAAGGATTACTCATTTAGCTAGATTTGTTTTTTTGACTATTTGACATGATTTA